GCTTTAAATTATTAAACGATTGAATTTACTTAGTGATTAGTTTATTAGCGATTATTTGAGTTTACAGAGTTTATGTGATAGACGCGAGCAAGCGACTAGGCTGTCGTGCTGTCCGCTACTATGTTTGTAATAGTCAATCTAACACAGCATCTGCTCTAAACAAGAGTTAATTGCATACTAATTACAATGTACGCGAGCCGGCGGATTAAGCTGAGCCGGTGCGTGGGTGAAAGAGACAACGCAAAAGGGAGAGCGTGATCTCCGTTACAAATTCTCTTACATGATAACATACTCTATGAACTGCCGCTCTTAATTACAATGAAGCGATGATTGCTGAGCCCAACACTAGCATTTTTGCTTGCATTTTTGTGTATCATAATTATAGCCCACTGTCGCAAATTTGAATTTATTAAGTGCGGAACAGACTTTTGGCTTTACAGACATTGTAATTAAGTAAATTTCGATAGTTTTTAAGAGATGCCGCTTGGAAAACAATTATCTTATTATGAAAAGGGCCGTATTTTCTCACTTTTCGAGTCAGGAGAGTCTATTTCGAGTATTTTACGAATTTTGAAAAAAAGTCTAAGTGTAATTAAAATTTTTTTGGATAACCCCGAAGAATAAGGATCAAGAAGACGTACTGGGTGAAAACCGTTACTAATTGCGCACGATAAACGCAAAATTATTAAGAAAGCCAGCAACAACCCAACCGCTTGTATAGCTTTGGCCGCACATGTGGCCGAATCTATGTCAGCGATGACTGTTTGGCGAGTACTTAAGAGCTCAGGAATCATAAATAGGTCTAAACTGACCAAAGCATCCATGTTGCTAAGTCGCCACAAGGTTGCTCGACTTGGTTTTGCCGATGGACATACTGCGACCGATCTGACATACGCGCGTTTGAATCATCGTCTTTTGGCTTACAGTATATTTATAAATTTTTACCCTAACAGGTCGTATTTTCTGATGGGAAGAAGTTTAACCTGGATGGTCCTGATGGGTTTGATACTTATTAGCATGATTTGAGGAAGGATCCTATGTTTTTTTCAAGGACAAACTTTGGAGGTGGCTCCGTCATGATTTGGGGTCCATTTTTTTCATTTGGTACCTGGGAATTGAAGTTTGTAACGAACCGAATGAACAGTGAAGAGTATATTCAGGCTCTGGATAGTATTCTCATTCCATATTCAAGGGAATTACGTGAGAAACCAATGGTTTTCCAACAGGATAATGCCAGAATCCATGTGAGCAGACGTACAAAAGAGTGTTTGGAGGAATGTCATGTTGATGTCCTTGACTGGCCAGCATGTTTTGGGGATCTCAACCCGATAAAAATGTCTGGGGTAATCTTGCAAGACGTGTGTATGCCAAAAATCGCCAGTTGGAGACAGTTGGATATCTTAAAACGCAAATTCTAAACGACAATGACTAAATAACAAAGTTTCGAAAAGGACCTTTTATTAAATTTAGTGGTTTCAATGAGGAAGAGAATTTTTGAGTTAACTAAGACAAATGGAGGCCGGACTAAGTATTAACATTAGTTTTTCCATTAATCCGCAACGAATTCGGATGTTTTTTACAAAAATATGAATATGGGCTATAATTTTGATACAGAAAATGGTGCTGTTTTTCCTTGTTTTTTACTTCTTTTTAAGAAATCGTTATTAAATCGTGAATTTTAAGTGAAAAAGTTTTTTGCCATTCATAATTGAAATATTGAACTACTCATTTTTGAAGATTTTGAGGAAATATTCCATTTGGGAAAAATTTTCAGCCGATTTGTTTAAGTGGATTAAAAGTGGGCTATAATTATGATAAGCACTGTATTACAAGGAGTCAAGCAGGTTATGATCTATTATCAATCAGTATAGCAGAGGTATACTTAATTTGTTTAAAAAAAACTTTTATAACAAGTAAATATAATTAATTTGAAACATAAATATGTATTTATATAAATGACATTCATTCAAGTCTATATGCATTTTTGAATGAATGTTAATCTGAATGTTAACAATGTGTTCATATCTTCTTAATTCATTTTATGACTTGTTACTGACATGGCACTACACTATAACATTATACTATACTTTATAAAATTTTTAATGGGATTATTGTTTATTACATAATTATTTTATATAATTATTTTTAGTATACTATGGCACAATATCTATCCTACATTTCTTTTAAAAGTTATTGTAAATAAAGTTAAAGCCTCTTTTCTGACAGCAAAATGGAATTGCGTACTTCGTCCAGTTTTGATTAATGTTAGACAAGTTTTCAGCTGTGTAAAACAAGTTTTTGGTTACTTATTTCTACAATTAACAGCTAAAAATGATGATGACTTGAATGGTAATCAAAAAAATCTAGAACATACTATGAACATATACATAAATCAAATCTTATTTATTATATCTCCAATTTAGCTATTATAAAGCCAAAACTTGTTGTTTCTTCTCATTTAGCTAAATTTTCGCCAGCTAAAAAGTTGGCAACACTCAAATTTATTGCAGACGTGTCAAGGAAATGGGGAAACCTTTAAATAAAATAGGCGTGGGCAGTTCATGAGATCATTGATTGAAGTCATATTTCAGCCAACTGCAGAGTTGCTGAGCTGGGTCCGTTATGCAATATGCAAATGAATTATTTAATATGCGAAGCAACAACAACAACGGCAACAATTTGTTCAATGTTTGCTTATTTCATTTCATTTATGACTACTTTTTTTTTATTTTTTTGCAATTGCACAACAACACTTGATTAGCACATTTCATCGAGAGTAAAACATGAAATTGTCGAAGCCTGGGCAGAATGTTGTCTATTGTCGATGCGCTAACTAAGAGTAATGTATTGAATTTGTATTTGCTTAACATATTGAGCAGCTGTCAATTTACGCCTAGCAGTGTGAGTGTATTAGTTAGTACTTCTACTTCTTTCGGGTAAACAATTTGTAGAAACTGCCTACAAATGGGCGTATCCCTCAACCAAATTCAAGTTTTTTCACTTCTGTAACTACTTCAGTTCAAGGTGAACCAGTTATGTCATTCTCCCTCACTCACACATTCACTCACTCAGTCAGTTAGTAAGTCACTCAGTCAGTCATTCATTCAGTGGACGACCCGATTACGCACTGTGGTCATTGTTCACGGCATTTGATTAAAATTTATTAACTAATTCATGCGCTGCTCAAAAGCAACCACAACAATGACAATAACAATAGCAAGCATCACACGCCTGTCACATTCCCAGTTGCCGACATATTTCGGCATGAATCTGGCCGGTTTTTTCAGCCTCCGCTGACAGCTCAATAGCCAGGCACAAGCATGATTCGCTTTAACTCAATTTGTTGTTGTTGTTGTTGCAGTTGTGGGTATGTGCAGTGCAGTATAATTCACTTTTAATTTATTGAGGGTCTACTAAAATTTAAACAAATTTGCGTTAGCGCTGTCATTAAGGTTTGTTGGATTAACAGCTGGGAACAGGTTTTAAGATGAGGCTACAAACCGACTCAGTCGACTCACAGATTCATACCTGTAATGACAATTTGGCTTTAAAATCTGATTGGAATGAGCTCCATTCCAGCTGTATTAAATGAGCTGTCATCATGAGCTGTATAATCAATTCATATTTATTTATGTACAAAAGTTTTGTCCAGCCTTAAAGCATCAATATAAATGGGCTCAACTTGGGTGTTTGACCAACACTTTTTGGTAAATTCCAACTTTGGCTAAAACTTCCAATTTATACAAATTTCATTTATAGAAATTTTTTTTTGAATATAAATTTCAAATTGAATAATTCATTTTTTATATTTTAACCAATAAAGTAAGATATCAACGATTTTGAGATGTGTAAAACTTGTTTTATGTATTGAATATGAGCCGTGGAACGAACCGCTTATATTTTGTTTGCCAAGTGAATGGAGTATATTAGTTTACTGAAATTTATGTCTTGCTGTTCGTTCATTTATTTGTATGAAGGAAAAGCAAATATACATTACGAATAGATTTATTTGTAGTAGCAAGACAAGACCCAAAAATATTAATATGTTTTACTATTTATTATAATTTTATTCTTTTTGAATTGTGAGCGAGTATTATGCAGTCGGCTGAGTTCAACCAAACATTTCTATTTACTTTGCATTTAGCAGGCTTGCTCATAATATTGCATTCCTAATATCATGAGTGCATCAATGTGCTGTATCATGGCTAAAAAAAGCTATAAATTATTAAAAAGATTTTTAATGAAGGGTGTGTAAAAATGGGCGTAATGACAAAGCTTTTATATATATCAAATGATATCCATTGCAATCACCGGTTAAATCTTAATGTTCTTTATAAAAATTCATCATACAAAAAGTATATACATAATACTTATATATTACAGGCAATATCAACCAAGAAGAAGTCAGTCTATATCTCTAGTATATTATAGCCTTCTCTAAATATCTTAATTAGTGCTAATATATCTGTATATCTCAAAACTGCATTAGTTATCCCAGGTTGTCAGACCACTTGCTTTAAACGCCTCTCAGATGTCAGCTGTAAATTGTCTGAGCTGTCTGGGCAATTACCAAAGTGAATGGACTGGATGGCCAAATTGGCGCTGTTAGGTGTTTAAATTAGAAAGGATATACATATACGTATGTTGGCGAGGTGAAAGTGGGCTAGAAGACGGTTGCAGTTCTAACTGAACTTGGCATTGGCCAATTGACAATTGGGTAAATCGTATCTTGGCTACGTTCTCAACAGAATCAAATCATTTAATTTTATTTATTAATTAAAAATTTAGCACGCAATTCAATTTTTGCGAAAAACAAACCACGAGCTTTATTTCACGGTCGTGCCACGATTTCGCACGTTTTTTTTTTTTTTTTCAATTGTATTGCTCTGGACTAATTTGCGATCGATATGCAAATCTCACGGCCAGGGAATGTAGATAAAACTTGTGCTTCGCATCGATTGAACTGATACGAAGACATTGAGAGAGACACAACAACTCACCTTCAATAGGTATGAATTAATCCAATTAGTGAATGTCTTCTTCTGCACACGTTCCTGCTCCTCTGTAATGAGAAATGTCGTAAAGAAAACATAAGAAAATTGTGTACAAACAGTGCCAATGCAATTTGTAATTAAATGTAAGACAAGCAACGAATTGTCGAGCCTCGCGGAAGGCAACAACAGCAAGTTATCTGATAAACAACAAAAAAACAACAGATAAGATACATTTCCCCGTAAACAGATACTTTGCTCTCTTTTTGTCTCTATTTGTCGGCTTTAAGTGTTGCCGACGCTTGTAGCTAATGTTTGCATTAATTGAATTATCAGTGAAATGTTAGAATGAATTTCAAAGCCTGATGATATCATGTTAGACAAAATGTACATAGATATAGAATAAAATTTGATATCTATAGCCAGGCACAAGCCTGGCCAAGCCAGAGCTAAAAGGTAAGGTTTTGTCATAAGATTCAAATGATTTAAAATATTAAGTTGTTTTTCACATTGTTTTAAGTTAAATCTATACTGGAATTATTTGAGTGTATGCCAGGAGTGTGACAAATAAAAGCCAACGCAAAATAAATGTCATATACAAAAATAAGTTTGAGTATTTCAATTTTTTTGAAAATAGGACAATATCATAAAAATATAATGAAAAGAAAGTCTCTGCTTTGATAGCGATGCTTCAGACATTGCCTGTTCTAATATGATATACTTATATATATTATTTTGCTAGTACCATCTAAAAACCGATCTGCTTTTCAATATCTACTTTTGAAGTACAGCTTTTCATACAATTTTTTTTGTCTATTTTTGTACCCTGAACCCATTTTCAATGGGAAGTCAGGGTATAATGGTTTTGTTTCTATAAATCTTTAGATAAAATTCTTAAAGTAAAATCAATATATTGTAATCATTATTTTTAAATAGTTAAAAACTTCGTATTCCAATTTTTTATTGTCCCTTGTATATAAAATACATTTAATATACTTTCAAAAAAAAAAAAATTTTTGAGATTTTTACTTCAAATGTTATTAACCTTTTGCTTTGTGCGTTCGCCATTTCGATAATATAAACAGCATCTTTTTTTGATTACCATAATTTCAATTTAGCGCAAACGCACATATAAATAATAAACAATTCATTAAAGAACAGCAATGTGTAAATAATTAAACAGAAATCAAACTAGACAATGCTAAAAGCTAAATGCTTTGTGATTCATTTCTGCTTGGAGAGTGCAGCTACGATGACTTCTCATGGCTGTCATAAGGCGGCAGCTGTCCAAGCATTACCAGAATCATCATTCCACCCAGTCCACATTTCTACACAGCATAAAAAATATGACATATAGTGTGTGCTGCTGCTTCTCGCTACTGGCGAGTGGCCAAAACGCATATCTATAATATATACTGAAAATAGATTTCAGGCAATTTTTCAAAATGGAAAATTTTCGAACAATTCATAGACAAATAGAATGTGGTTCATATAAAACATTACACAGAATAAATAAATAAATATCGCAGCATTTGACAGACTTCTAGCACTCAAATGTCAAATTTTAGCTAATTGCTGCCGCAATTTACAATGCAGGTTAAATTATTACAATGGAAATTAGAAGATTTTTTTTTTTTTTTTTTGGTCTAATTTTTTTAATATTTATTTTTTCATTTGCTGCGCGTGTGACGCAATTTTCTGGCACATTTGCAGCAAATCCGAGAAAATAATATTTAAATAGAAATTAGTTCAAGGTTAAACAATTTGCAAGCAACAACAGCTAAGCAAGTCATTAATATATATCTCACATAAGATCTATGCCATATTGTATAAGAATTAAGCAATGAAATTGCAACATTCTCAAATAGACTCTTGCACTTAGTATATAAATTAAAATGAACTTAAGCAAGGTAAAATATTTTCAATGTTGTCTCGAAAATTGATGTTTAACTATTTCTAATGGCTGCTAAGTATTTTTATATTCCTAAGAGACAAATATTTTATATTTTAAATGGGCCCAGAGAATTCTTATTTAAAAACACGAGATGTGTTCAAAAACAATTTTTGTTCAATTGATCAATTTTGTATTTAAGTTAAAATTGCTAGATCCCTTTTAGCATAATGTTGTTTCCCCATTTCCTCACTTATGCCTAAAAGTTTGACTGTCTTGAATGTTTTTATACAGTGAGATTGATTTTGCGATACTACTTAAATATACTTTATATGCTAATAAAAATTGTTCAATAACAAAACCATAACTCATATTAATGTCAAATGCTAATTATTTCCGTAAAAAATTGAGTTTTAAATATGGGAAACACTAAACTCTAATCCCCTTGAATAGTATTCAAGCCAAATATCTCTTTCAGCTTTCAGCACGTTTTGGCCTATTAACCAACGTACGTACAAATACATATGAAATACAAATATATACATATGTATGAATATTTGTTGTTGATGGTCACTAAATTTAAGTTGTTTTGGCCAAAATGTTTACTTTGCTACCTACTCGTCTTGCAAATTAATGAAACCTGAAATTTGAGGTTTTAGGCAAAAACAAAAAAACAAAACGATGCTTTGGGAATAAATTATAGGCGGCAAAAATCAAATCTGGTTATTGCTTTTATCGGCATTTACTTGATTTGTTCTTCTTCTTCTGTTCAATTCGAAAACTAGTTAACAATTGAATGTATATATGTATGTTTGTATTGAATTCCAAAAATATACTTCAATGTTGATAAATTTGACTTGCCTTTTTTGCTAACTCACAATTTGTGTTTGCATTATAAATATTTGTAATCAGCAAATACTTTCGCTAATTGTTGCCAAGATATGGAAACAAATTGCACTTGAAAAGCAAATAGTAGATAACACCAAATTAAACCTACATTAAAAAAAATAGAAAAATAAAAAACAAATAAAAATACTTATCAACAAAGCAACGAGGATTAAATACCCCAGCTGATATATGTATTATTGAATACCTATAGATATGTACATACTACACTCACTTAGTCATAATTTTTCATATTTTACAAGTTCCTGTTCTAGCAAAGATGAATTAAGAAGTTTATTGTAAAAATAGAGATAGAGAAAGACAGATAGAGTCACAGAAACTCCATCAAACTAAGCTTTACATTTTATATTACTGGTATATGACAAATTTTATAATCACATATAATTAAACGTTACTAGTATATACACTTAAGACTGCTATGCATCTAAATATAAAATATAAGCCACAATTGAAACCGTTTAACGATTTTTTGCTCCCAATTGCAAATTACACTCATATATAAATAAATGTTGTTTCTTATACCCTGAACCCATTTTCAATGGGAAATCAGGGTATAATGGTTTTATTGAAATGTATGTAACAGGCAGAAGACGGCGTGGCAGACCCCATAAAGTATATATATTCTTGATCAGGGCGACGAGCTGAGTCGATTTGGCCCTGTCCGAAAATCAGTTATAAAATTATATCTCCTACATCTTTGGAGCTACAGTCTCTAAATTTTGAATGTATATTTATATGCATTTTATACAATTTCGGTTTTTGTTGAAATTTACCCCCCCCCCTAAATCAACCCCCTCACCATCACCTTGATCTAATTATAATTATGATCATGAAGATCGTATGTCCACAAAAAAAGTTATCAATCAATTAAGTTTTCATAGTAAGCGCACACTGCAGCCCATGCGTGTTTATGCGTGGGTGCTTGTGTGTGTATGTGTGTTCAGGGGATCTCGTAGTCGAGCAGTCTCGACTAGAGCTTTCTTACTTGTTTTTTTTTTAATTTTTTCCCTGAGTAATTGCTCTCAAACGTGACTTAAACAAATAAATATTGAGAACTACTTATTTAATAACAAAATTCTAAGCTGGAAATTCTAAGCTTATTGTGCTTATATACATATGTATCTTGTATATAAGAAAATTGTGCAAACCACAAATAAAAAAAAAAAACTATTATTAAGTATAAATACATAAATAAATGTTAACCTAAACAAACATTAAATAGAAGCCAGCAGCTCGAGAATAGAAAAAATATAATTGTTAAAAAATATAAAAAGAAAAGTAAAAGCAAAAGAAATTTTTGTACTCTTCCAATAGATAAATCAATCAAAAGTTCTAAAACAATGAACAGCGTTAACTAGGTTAAGCCCTAAATAGAATACAAACGTTTAGGTTGAATGACTCTGGGATATCTTGTAAATTTCAATTTCTAACTATGTAAAGCCCGACTACGAACAAAAAGCAGCAAAAGCTCAAGAAAGAAAAAAAAAAAAAAAAGAAAACCCTCGGGCAGAGCCAAAGACCCAAGAAACATAAATTATTCAAAAGCAATACAAACAAAACAAAACTGAGAAAGGGAACAACAGTATTTTGCAGAAAATGTTTTTTGTTTTTTTTCAATGGTTCACTCAGTCAGTAAGTTAATGATCATAATTATAATGATGCGGCTGGTGATTATTATTGAAGTTTTTTTTTTTTTTTGTGTCTAATAAGCAAAACGCTGCGCAGTTAAATAGGGTTCAAATATAAAGAAATATATATATATATATAAGTATATAGATATGTATATATATACACATACAAGTTGCAAACTGTAAACAATTTTCAAATTTTCTATCAATTTTATTAAGCGTGAAAAAACATCTCTAAAAAGGCAGAACAAAAGTCTGAACAGTTAGTAAAAGTTTGAAGCTGGCCTCGTTGCATTCACACACACACACACACTCACACAACCCAATGCTGTGTGTGTAAAAGAAATTACAAATACAAAAAGATACAAAACAATTGTGCAAATAAAGTGTAAAAATAGTTTATTTTCGTTTATGCAAAGCCCCCAAATTGTTTGGCTTTCCCCTAACCAAAAAATGGAAAAGAACAAAAATTCGATCGCATTTGCATAAACAAAATAACGCCGAAGATGTTGTAAATGCGAGGCAACCCCAGGGGTACTTAGGGGCATTCCAATGTCATGTGTTATAGCACATAGCTAGAGATTAACCATATGCTAACGGAAATGTTATAGATACGAGTGTGGTGTACTAGCATTTCCGTGACTAT